TTTTAAATAAATAAAAATCATTAATTATTTAGAAAATATATAATTAAATTAAAGATAAAAAATACATATCAATTTTAATTTTTTAAAAATTTAAAAAATTTTAAAAATTAATATTAAATTATATTATTTAATTTAATTTAAATTTAATTTAAAATTTAAAAGTTTATCTTATTAAATATTAATAATAAAAAAATAAGATGTCCTAATATTAAAAATATCAAAATATTTAATCACAATCATTAAATATATAAAGTTTAATGTGAATTTTAATTTTATCAAATTTATCATATAATTATTATTATAGATCTTGATATTTTTAATATCAAGATATTTTAATTTTTTTAATATTAATGTTTAAATTTAAAAATTAAAAATTTTAAATTAAAATTTTAATTTTTAAATATAAATTTAGACATTAATTTTTTTTAAGTTTGAATTGATATGTATTAAATTATAAAAATAATATAAAAAATTATTCCTAAATTATTTTTCTTTCTTAAATGATGCCACGGCGGAAAGAAAGATAAAAATCCATAACTCGTATCCTTTACCAAATACCAATGCAAAACCGCTGTCGTGAAGCCGGACCCAACCCAACCTTATGCGAGCCCAATTATCACTGCATCGGGTACCAAACCCACGACGCCTGGGCTTCACATTGGGGCATTCGTCTTTTACTCTCTTTTTTTTTTTAACCCTTAATGGTATTGGTGTATTGGGTAAGAGTCCTTACATTGTAGGCACCAAAAACTTTAGCATTTCTAGAACCAAAAAATACTTTATTTATTATTATTATTTTTTTAAGTATAGTAGATCTAAGAGAGATTCCGTAATTCCCAAACTTCCTATATATATATATATATATATAAATTTTCTCTTCATGTTCATTGTCCAGTTATGGTAAAAATTAGTACTTTTTATCTGGTTCAGCAGCTGGTTGTGGGATCAAATTGTGGGCTGTTGAATTCAATCAAATTATTGAGTATGTTTCAGAGAGTTTATTCCTTTCTCTATCCCCCATATCTGCCTTTTTCTATGTCTTTTGCTCTTATGCTGGTCAGATGAATATTAAAGGTCATAACTTCAATTTGTGGACTATCTTGTGCAGCTGCAGGATTGCAGGTGCTTCAAGAAAGACATCTGATTCACAGGGATTTAAAGCCACAGGCATGGTGCTTTGTTCTCAAAGCTCGATCTGAGATGCTTTTTGTTGGATGTTCTTATTAGTTTGTGTCATGCCTCATTACGTATTGTAATATGGATAATCATTATGAGAATCATCCATCAAATCATATAGTTTGTTTGGAAACTGAAAAAATGGTGCATAAAATCATTTGGACCACATAATTTTGTAGGAAATTTTATTTTAATGCCCTCTTTTTTGCATAATAGTATGTCTTTTTGTGGGTACATGACTAACATACAGCATCTAAGTTTCTCTAGTGCAATGCAATTAGAATTGGATATTTGTATTTTCTGGTTACATCTCTGAATTTTTTCCTCAAAATTTCAGAACTTACTACTGTCAACTAAAGATGAAACTCCAGTACTCAAGATAGGAGACTTTGGTTTTGTAAGGTAACTGATTTAATAAGGATTTTAATTGATGTGATTTAGCTTTTCAAACAAAGGATATTCTGAAACTCATAGCTGTAGATTAGTTGCTTCTTGATGCCTTTAACCCTTGCTACTATAACAACTATATTCCAGTGTACCTTAGTCCATTTAATTGCCAAGTAAAATACTGCCGTCTGTTATACCAAACATCTAGATCTAGATCTAGATCTAGATATCTAGCCATTGACATCTTCATGTCATGGATGGGCCTTCATAAGATCATGCTAAAACATATTCTTTAATACTCATGAAAAACAGATCTAAGAACCAGCCTAGTAATTTCTGTAATTATGTAAAATCTTGAAGAGCATGGATTGTTAGTTATTTGCAGAAATAAGTTTTAAACCCTGTACCACAGATCCTTAACTCCTGAAAACTTGGCTGACACCCTATGTGGTTCACCACTGTACATGGCTCCAGAGATCATTGAGAATCAGAAGTATGATGCGAAGGTGAGGCAATTATCTTAAAATGAAAGCTCCTTTTTGGGACTTTTCTTTCACTATCTTTAATTTAATCCAGTGGTTGGTATTTGTAGGCTGACTTATGGAGTGTAGGTGCAATATTGTTTCAACTGGTAACTGGGAAGCCACCCTTTGGTGGCAACAGTCGATCACAGGTACTTGTGGGGTAAAAAAATTGTCATGTGTTTTGCAAGCTTAAAATTGATTTAACTGATTTTTTTGCTGTAAACAGCTTTTCCAGAATGTATTGGCATCTACTGAACTGCAGTTTCCAGAAGGTACCTTGGGAGAAATACATCCAGAATGTGTTGATCTTTGCAGAAGCCTTTTACGTAGGAACCCAGGTATAGCTTGCTTTATATATATATGTGTGTGTGTGTGTGTGTGTGTGTTTTTGTTTTATGTGTAACACTAAGACTCAGCACAAGTCACAAGAAGATGTTTTTTCATACCATGCCATTGCCTGCAAATTTTCAAGGTAGACAGGTTCACTTGCATTACTTATCCAACGATAATCTTCATATAAACTAAACTTCAATTTGCAGTTGAGCGTCTGACATTCAAAGAATTCTTCAACCACAAGTTCTTAGTGGAGTTGAGGTAATATACTAAGCTTGAATTTTATATTGTTCCTAATCCTTTTGTGTCTTCGATGATCCTTAATTGGAGCTCCTTGATGATCTATCATTTAGCAGTCAAAGTATTCAAGCTACTTAGATTTTTTCTTTTGAGAATTTAGCAAGTTTTCATTAAGCTCCAAATTCCACTAAAATAGGGTATGTGCAATTATTCTAGGCGTCCCTGGGTTACCATATAATCACTTAAAACAAATTAAGACCTTTTTCAGAAATACCAATCTCAAAGTCTTGAGAATAAACTACTCCAAGCTACTTAGATTATTTATTGCACCATTGTTTTGAACAGGCAGATGGCAGCAGAGGAGCTAGTTTCTTCAATTCCACAATCAAATTCAATGGTTGAGCAGCTTGATCTTTCACTCTCTGAGAAGAAATCCCAACTGCAGTCTGGGCATCCCACAAAGTCTTCTTGCAGGAATCCAAAATCGCACGCTACAACTGGATATGATGCAGTATCATACAGTTCATCCAGCAGTAAAGCTGCCTATGATAATTTTTCATTTGATCAGGCTGGAGGTTAGTTATTCTTCATTGGCTGTTAGTATATGTGGTTAAACATTTTTCTTCAATTAAATTTCCTTATTTTCTCCTTGTGTCCAGTTGCAGACTCAATGGAGGCCATTGAGAAAGAATATGTTATTGTCAATCCTGATTGCGGTTCAACAGAGACTTTCTCTTATTACCTTGAGACATTAGTGCAAGGTAGTTCTGCTGGGCTGTCCAACTTCCAAGCCAAGAATGAGCAGGAACCAGCAGGTGATGATATGCAAAAGAGGCAGTTTGCTGGTAGTTCTGCTGGATGTGCAAAAAGCCCACATGTTCATGGACTGAACCCACTATCAATATCTTCTGAACAAATGATATCAAGGGAACAGCAAGGACTAAGCATACTGCATCCCTCAACTAGACTCCACGTATTACATCAGTATGTTCAGGCTCTCACAGAACTAGCTCAAGAAAATGTGAGGTTTCTAGTACTTTTTGCCAGTAATACTATAGTTCTTTTTGATTATGATGACTGAATCAATGATAAAAGTACCATTTAATAAGAAAGCCATTAGCTGCAGTACAATGCAGGGCTGTTTCTAGAATCATTCTCGGTTGAACTCATTGTTTTGGCTATATGGAGCAAAGCTCTCAAGATTTGTACCTCCTGGATGACCTCAACTGGAGATGGTGAACCTGGACCCAGTTCAGCCATTGAACCAACGGGTGCAGAATATAATATTGGCTTCAGCAGGCCTTCATCTGCTTGCATATGGGCCAAAGGAGGTTTTATCAGTGCATATGATCGTGCAGAGGAGCAATCATACCATGTTCAAAAAATGAATGGTTAGAATGTTAATCTGAAAATTTGCCTTTTCAGTTATGTTTATCTCACTACATCCACGTTTTCAGTCTATTCAATATATGTCCGACTATTTATGCAGCTGCTGCAATGCCTGATGCCATGGAGATAATATATCAGAGGGCACTTGCAATTGGGATAGATGGTTGTGTAAGTAACTTGTTTCTATGCATCCTTTACTTTATGTGCCCATTTGATGTTTGACAAGTAAAAACTGAAGTGACCCTCTAATTGTGTGTGTGAGTTTTCCATTTTTTTATTTATAGGAAGACGAGCTGATGGAAAACACACGTAGGGCAGCAGCATCCTACACTAAAGCAAAGCTTCTGCTTTCATTTATCGTGGGAGAGGCAATCAATCTGCCACTGAACCCACCATTTTCATTAACTCCTGCCACTAAAAACCAAATCCAAAGCTATATTAAGAGCTTCGAGTCTCGGCTGTCTAACTTTCAAATACCAGTGCAATCTCCCCCTTCTGCAAACTTCCCAACCAACTAAATGTGACAGGTTGTGTACAGCTGTTTTGAAGAATACAAAGCTAGTAGATCATGGTTGAGTGTGGTAATTCTTTAACCATGTCTTTGTTGACAATGATATACAATAGAAGCTGAACAGTGAGGATATTATAATGAACATACTTCGACTTTGTCTGATGTATCGATAAGTATATAACAGACTACTTTGGAATCTGGAACCGAATGACATTGCACAGTTCTTGTACATAGACTATTCTCTCTTTGTGAAGTGTAAATAGAAATTTACAGTGTAATTTGCATGATTTCTTGTGTTATTATGAAAGTGCATATAACTCTTTCAATTTAGCATTTGATGCATGCAATCAATCTTTGAGCTTTCCTAATGCTAGCATAACAGGAATTATAAATGGTGATTTTTTTTTAAAAAAAAAAATAATTTCTTTACCATATTTGTTAAGGATGAGAGAGGGATTTGATTTTTCAACCAAAACCTCTCGAAAGAAGAATGATAACAGCTATAACCCTAATAAAAAGAAAATTTTCACATATGCCAATGGAATCTAACTAATTGACAGCTAGAGAAGAAGCCATATAGAAAGTTACAATGGCACCTTTATCAAATTGAATAAATCAAAATCATGCATCAGAAATAGTGCAAATTTGGAAAGTTGAGAAGAAAAGTTGAAAACAAAATTGCAGTTAAAAAATTTCTTCTAGCATGTGAATGTCGTTTGGCAGTTATGAAACAAGCAAATGGCCTTCCGTGCAATGTGTTTGTCTTACCATGTCAAAAGACCTTTGGCTTATTGTGCTTTCTGAGGGATGCTGTCACTATCCAAAGAGTGGAGTAATAATGGAGGATGAACATTGGAAGAAAGGAGGCCATACCAAGGCCATTCAGTACTTGAATGTTTGTTATCTTAGTCTATTCAAGGGAGTAGTTTAATAGCAGTTGCATGGACCTGAGAGTAAATAAGCGAATGTAGACATATTGTACACACACCTACACGATAAGTCCCGTGAGCTGAATAGTCTTGAAATTAAATAGGAACCAGAAATAGATAAAAGGGGAAATAGAGATTGCAGGCAATAAGGGATGCCTTGGGTTTAAATTGCATGCAAAATGGCATGTCAAGTTGAAGCTTCCCCTTCTAGGCGTATCCTCTTGGGACCTTTCTCTTCGACTTGACTGTCAGCGTTCACCACTCTATTTTCCTTGGCTTCTACGGAACACCTTTTGTAAGGTTTAAATCCTGTTCGGCGAGACTTGAACTTTCCATGTCCTAGCCTAATTGTAAGCAGGCTCTCTTCTGCATTGTTCTCTCCTGTTGATGTTGCATTTTTCTCAACTCCTTGATGGTCAGAACATGTTTCTGATGTGTTTCTGTTGAGATCCAAACCTGATGCATCTCCATCTTTCTTTGCAATTTGCTTGTTGTCTTCTACATTGTCCTTCTGCTGCCCCTTGTTCTCGCCATCATGTGGAGGTGAAAAGCTTTGCGGCAGTACCTCTCTAGAGAAGAGAGCTTGAAAAGCCAACCGCCCCTAACATAAGAGTAATATGAGTGAGCAGCGAAGGATGCTGAAACATCATTAATTACATATCCTATACTTTTCTGCAAGGACAATAAAGTCAAAGATTCATCCATAAAGGAAAATGTCATGTCACCTCTTCAGAGACCTCCTTCCAAGAATCGCTCGTGTTGCTACTGCTACGATTGCGACGGTTACTAGACTCAGAAGCTGGATGATTTGCATCAGCTTCTTTAGTTTCTTCCTTGCCTTTCTCGTCCTTCTCTAAGGCTTCTGTCTCTGCTTCACTGCCAGAAGGTGTATTTGAACCACATGAGGAGCGATCAACCTGTTTTCTGCTCTTTGTTTCGTTTGCATCATGAATCTCAGTAACTGCTTCAGCCTTCTCATGGTCAGTAGCTTCCACTCCAGTATTTGCCTTTGCATCCCCACACTCTTCAGAGTCTGATGTTGATGAAATTGGCAATTTAGAGGCTGAATGTTGAGCTTGCAATGCTTCAGAGTACTCAGGGGCCAGCTGTTGTTCCTGAACAGAAGGATTTTGATCAGCATTCTCTTCTCTCTGTGGCTTGGAAGCTGGAGCTTGATCAGTCTCCATTGGTGAAACTGCAGCTGTGGATGCAGGAGGACAGGGAAAACCATTGTGAAGAGGAGAACATACAGGAAGAAGTCCGTGGGCTGCCCACCATGCAGTTGCAGCTGTCACAGTTGCAGCAGCAATAGCAGCCATGCAAGGAGTAGAGTTCATTTGCCTAGATGGTAAACTGCCTTGGCTGCATGCAGGAGAATCAACAGAAGTCTCCATATTTGAATATGGCCAAAATGAAGCTGCAAAGCTTGCTGCAGCATGAGCTGCTGGGTTTTGTAACAAAGAAGACACAATTAGATTTGAAAAGGTGGTGGTCATATGGAGAAATGATCGATAATCCTCTTGATCAGGGCCAATTGGGGTCAAGGGAGGATGAAAACTTGGAAATGCCTGATGAACAGATCTTGGTGCATTATCCTGATCAGTTGTAGTAGATGCAGCTGGATTTGCAAACAGATTAGGTTGTACATGAACTTCTCCCATGGGATGAAGGATGGAATCCTGAAAAGGCATTTCTGTTGAAGGAGTATGAGTACAAGTTACTACGCTTCCATCTACAACATGCACAGGAATATGCCTTGGGTAGTTTTGAGTGGCTTGGATCTCATCAACAGGCAATACATCATCTGAATCACCTTTTTCATTGACTTGAACTGATTTATCATGTGAAGTGCAAGAATTCTCTAAGTTTGAAGCCTTGCTGGTGCCATTTTCTTGAATTGTCTGTTTGGCATTAAATTTATCAATCTTCTGGATTTCTTTCAAGTTCAAAAGTAATATAATGATTGATTTCATCCAGATTAATTACCTCTTTCAATGAAGGTACAAACTCCCTAAAAGTGCAGGGATTCCTGAGTGCTGTTGATGTTGGTATAGGACTTTTGTTTACTGAAGATACAGAAGAACAGTTTGCTTCGTGGAGAAAGGTAAAAACCTCAGAGCAACTCTCTCCCTGATTGTCTCTTGCATTTGTTAGTTTGTCAACTCCATTAGTTCTCTACCAAATGAACACCCAGAAACTATTATATAAATGTAATATGAAAAAGAACTAAGAGCTAAGACGTCAAGGGAATGAAGAACAAAGAAAGGGAAAGTAACCTCAGGAAGTGGTTCTTTCTCCAAGTCCAGTACTTGCTTGAAATGCGAAGAAGCTGGGGTCAAAGCTTTTCCATCATTTGGTGCAACCTGAATTGCGGGAGCAGCAACGCCTGTCTTTCTAGGATAAGGATTGTTTGGTTTTCGTTTAGGGCGTGGAGGTGGAATATCTATGTCAAGAGCTTGGCCAATTGGAACGCCTTTAGCAAGAGCTTCCTTCTCCAACTGAAAGCAGAATATTTGTCAGAATTCAAAATTAGGAACAAAATCAAGAAAATAAAAGTTTCAGGATCAATTTCAAAAGTAACAAACTGCAATATGCATGTTTCTGATAGGAGTTAAACAACTTGATGCCTGATAAATTATTGCCAAGAAAACTTGACAATGTTTTCTCTCCTCAGTTGGAGATCTAGTTTGTGTTAATTCCTCTTTGTTTTAGCCAGCTGTTTGTATCAAGTTGAGGTGAACCATTAAAGAGTTTACCAGACTACTTGAGGTAATCATCATAAATAGTCTTGGGTAACTATACTAACTGACTTTTTGGATGATTTACTTGTTCAAAAATCCTGAATCTACCAGCATTTCCAATCTAAATGAACACGAACTGGTATAAAATAACTAATACTCTTCCTACCTCAGCAACTTGATAGTTGGCTGCCAAATACAATATTGGATGAGATCATCACATAATGTTGCTTCGACTAAATTGGAAGATTGGTTTTTGCATTATCCTCCTTGAAAATTGACATCCTGAATGGAATTTCTTTTATTTCTATTATTATTATTGTTTTCTTGGGGGGTGATCAATAATCTTGAGTGAAGTTGAGAACAGAACGGAAGGAGGAAAAACCAATCCTTCATTCTCATAAAAGTCATGAAAAGATAACTCAGAAAGAAAAAGTGTTTCCAGAATGCTCTCCAATAGAGAGGGAAAATGGAGATTTAAAAAATAATAATAATAATCTCTTCTTTCCACTTATTTAATCTCTATTGCAGGTAGAGAAAAAAAAAATGTAAAAAGGTTAAAGAATGTTTTCCTAATCTCTACGTATCAGCAGTTTATGTAAAATTTATTGCTTCTATTTAATGTCTTTTCTCATGTGTTTAACGTTATGCTTTGTTCTTTGTGCCTCCCAAATGCACCATTCAACAATTTCATTTTAGTAGCAAAATGCCAGCAAGGTAAGTTTGACTGCAATGTGAGTCTTCTATTTCTCCTCTCCACTAATTAGTATCCACTAAAGGTAAGTTTGCTTCTCCCCCTCTTTTAGCCCTATAGCCAATCACATCACTTGTCTGGTGAATGGTCTGTCAAACCAAAAACATGTTGCCAACACAGCAGACAATATATTAGATTGTAAAAAGAGTTGTGGATATGCTAGAGTGCATTTTAAAGTAGTCTTGAAGAATATGCTTTGCATACAAGTAGTTTCTTTCTCATATCACAATTAGTCATATCATGTTCAATTGTATAGTTTATAATCTAGAATCACTTATGTTGGATAAGTTATTTAACATTCTAATTTTTCTGTAATATGGTATTATCAGCATTCACATGGTGCACTGTAATTTTAATCATAGCAGTATACAGAATGATAGATTGCAGTTAACACACCTAACAATTTAGTAAAATGAAAAAAGGGGCTGGTTTAGCCAGGCTATCATCTTGACTGCTTGGCTAAACCAGCCCCCTTTTCTTACAGGACCTTTTCAAGTACCAAAGGGAAAACTTAAATATAAGGT